TTTCTATGAAGCCACAATTAGCTATAGGGAGGATTTGGATCTTCCTGATTTAGTGTAATAAGGTTTACTTGTTACTTACTGAATTAATATATACCATCTAATCAACACACGGACAGTTATTCTAATTGAAACAGCTGGTATTGGAGTTAATTATCATATAAAAGCCATGCTCGAAATGATGGTGCCAAGATGAAGGAAAGGGTTGCATAGAAGATATTGCACAGTTCCAGACTACTCTATCCTTCTCAAAAACTTATACATTTACACCAACCATCAATTTATGCCGGACATTCAAAATATTTCACTTTCAGTATCAAATGGGAGTCTCTCTTGATCACGGAAATTTAACAAAATAACTGATTGTTCATTATATGATCTTCCGCTTGTTAAAATCTAATACTAATAAAAAAATATACGTCAATTTATTTTTAAATTTGCTAAATTATTCTTATTTAATAATAATAATAATAATATAATAATAAGAAAAATATTTTACAGAATATTATTAAATAATAAATAGATATGAAAGAATATTATTATTAATTATTTTGACTTTAGTTCTTTCTTTCTTTTTCGTTCCATTCTTCTTTGCATTTTTTGCGCTCTCTCTTCCATTGCTTTGTTATAAAGACTTATTATTGATGTTGTATATTTTTCCATTTCCCATTGATCACAAAATTCTCTTGCAATTTTATCAACATCATCATCACCCTATTAATTAATTAACAAATATTGTAAGCAAGTAACTCATTTCATTTTTAAATAATTATATAATCATATTTAAAATAGCTAAATAAATTATATAAGTATATTTAATAAATAAATACTTACTGGACTAATATAACAAGTTTGTACTCCAAAATTTGTTGTTTCAACATCAATCTTTATTGGTTTACCACCACCACCACCACCACCACCACCACCACCAGATCGTTTACTCTCCAATTCTAAATTGTCCATCCTTAGTTGTTCACTGGGCGAAGGACCTTTTTCTGCAACTTCTACTACTACTTGTTGTTGTCTTTTATCTATACTTGAACTTCTTATTACATCTTCTTTACTTGATGATAATATTGTTGTTTCTGTCTTTGAAAGTAAAGTTTCTTCTGTACTTGTTTGACAATTAACTATGTTCCTGCTATAGTTTTCGACTTCAATATTATTATTGTTAACGTTATTATTATTATTATTTAATTCCAACGATATTGTTTCTAAATTGGAATTTGTTAAAAAGTCATCAACATTATTTTGGTAGGAAACATTATTTTCCAATAATGGAATAACTTTTTGACCTTGGATATTTTCATCAGTCTCTTCAAATGAAATTAATGACGCAACCTCGTTTTTATTATTATCTAATAACAAATTATCACCACTACTGATATCACCATTAATGATAACGTTTTTTTGACCTGTCATAAAATTTCCTCGTTCAATTATTGACTGAATATTCTCATCATCAGCAGCATCAGCATCAGCATTATCGTTAACTTTTGTTATTGGTGGTGAAGGCTTAATTGAACTAAACAAATTAAAAATGTCCTCATTGATTAATCTGCTAAGTTTAAGGTTATTGTTGTTGCTACTATCGTTTTCTTTATTATCACCGTCTAATTTACTTGAATCCAAATCTATCAAAAGATTGTCTTCTATCTTTTGAATAACCTGCCTCTCACTAAGATGCTTCTTTTCCTTTTCTGGTTTTTTCACGTTATCACAGAGATTCCAAATGTCATCATTATCAGAAACAGATATTACATTAGTTTTAACAGGTATAATATGATCATCAAGATGTTGGGATACTGGCACTGAAAGTGTGCTATCTTCAGGATCACTTTCTGATCCTGACGTATCTGATATTTGAAGAGTAGGTTTCTTTTTAGTAATGTAATCTTTACCATGCACAACCTCGACTGTCTTAACATTATACTTGTTCCATTCATCTTGTGCCTTCCATTGATAATTCCTAGTATAATGCTCTTCTGGTCCAGCCGATGCTGAATCATCCTCACTCTTATTATTATTATTATTTAATCCCGTGGTAAAATTTGCAACTACATCGTCTTCGTCATCATCATCATCATCGTCATTGTCATTGTCATTGTCATTGTCATTGTCATCATCATCATCATTATCATCATCATCATTTAAAAGTTTGATTTCTTTGGATCTAGTTGGTCCCTTTTTTTTCTTTACATCCTCCTCTTCAACTCCTTGACGTCCTAAACGATTTCCGTTAATATTATGATCATCAGCATCGCTTGATTTAATCTCTTCTTTTTTTTGAGGCGCTTTAGCTTCTTCTGTAACATTATGCCATGCCCCATTGATTCTAGCCCAAAACACAGTTTGGTTTTGTTCCTCAATCATCTCAATACAAATTCCTTGACGAGGATCACTCCATGAAATATCATTTGGTGGTGGCGACCCCCATCCTTCATGATCATCAAGCTCATTATTAACAACTCGTACTTGTTTCTTTTCAAAATAGAGAGGCTTTGTTGATTCTTCAACAGGATCAGGAGTTGTTTCACTAGTCTTGACAGTTTCGAAAATTTGATCTAATTCTAGCTCAGATACTTTGCTTTTTACACCTGACGCCCGTTTCACCTGACTATCCCATGTCGATATTTTATTAATCAACAAGCTACCCCATGCACCAAGATCAACTGAATCACTTTGGTCTTGATTAACATCTGTGGAAGTAGATAATTTATTATTATTATTATTATTATTATTATTATTATTATTATTATTATTATTATTATTATTATTATTATTATTA